AGGGACCAAATCCGTGCCACAGTGGCTGTGGGTAGCTCCACAGTGCTAAGTTCCCACCCCTTGCACCACTAGGGAAAGCCCAAGGTGAGCTTTTCAATGACACAACTGCCTACTGAAGTTGTTCTGTTCTTCTCTACCCATTGGTTCTTCATCTAAGGACTTTTTTTTTAAATTGTATAATTGTTTTTACATCATTTTGTGCCTTTTCCCATCTCAGTTGTAATCCCCATGGGCTTCCCATCACCAAGTCACCCGTGTGCCATCACCATAGTCCAGTGCACTTCCCTCCCCCTACCGCTTTTGATCCCATTCCCCACTCCACACCCATAAAATGTCTCTGGTATGTAGTTGTTTGTTATTATTATTATTTTCTCCCCTGGTCCTTTACACTCCTGCTATGAGTGAAATCATCTGGTATTTTTCCTTTTCTTTCTGGCTCATTTCACTCAGCATGATCTTTTCCAGCTCCACCATGTCGCTGCAAAAGGCATGACTTTATCTTTTTGATTGCTGAGTAATATTCCATCGTGTATATGTACCACATCTTTTAAATCCAGTCATCTACTTTTGGGCATTTGGGTTGTTTCCATGTCTTTCCCATTGTAAATAAAGCAGAAGTAAACATGGGGGTAAGCACTTATTTTTATTGGTTGTTTTTGTTGTTGTTGTTGTTCCTTCTCCTTCATAAAATGTGAATTTCACAAAGGAAGGGCATTGCTTGCCCTGTCCACCAGCTCCCTAGCACCAGCCTGGGACCCAGTAGGCTCTTAATGCAACTTAGAGATAACATGCAAGGCAAACTATTTTTCCTGCTAGCTGCAACCTTCGACAGACAGACATTAACACTTTGGCTCACTGAAGCAAGAAGCCGACCTTATGGCCTGAGTCTCACGCTCTGTGCTTTGCTCCCTCCCAGCTGGTTTCCGCCGCAGCCTACGGCTCTCCCGCAGGAGTCACCTCGGCCAGCCGCGTGCCAGTGCCTGCTGTGCCAGCTCAGGTGCGGTGGGTGCCCCTTACGAGGAGGTGGTGAAGTACCAGCGCTGCGCTTCCGACAAGCCCCGCCTCATTGTGCTCGTGGGTACGTCCCACCGACAGGCACGTCCCCTCCCTCCGACCCACACACATAAGAGAGTTTTCCTTGCCTATTCAACAATCTTGCCTTGGGAAGAGTGTAAAAGTGGAACTCTGTGCGTCCTGCCACATAAACACCTTTAAAAAAAAAGTTTCCCATGCATTATAAATAAAACCTTATTGCATGATGTTTTACTTATTTTTTAAAAGATTTATTATGTATGCATGCAGAACTGGGGTTCAGGCCAGAGGTGCGGGAGGGTGAGAAGGCAGCACATGACATCAGTTACTACCTCTGCAGGGATGAGGCTCATGAAAATCTTAGTTGCAACAGCAGAGCACCCAGCTCTGTATCTGCCGTGTTTGTTAGCATCCAAGACACAAACTAAAAGATTTCAGACACTTCTCTAAAGAAGGTGATTATACATTTGGGGTTAGGGAGTAGATCTTAATGATATTTTTCTGATACGGACTAATGATCTGCAAGGACACTTATCAATACTTAGAGGAAAAATTCTAAAAGGGGGAAAATGTATTAAAATTGCAGACTAACACAACTTGTTATTTTTCATGTCCATCTTCACCTTGCCCTACCACTTTCAATGTAGATGGGACCTCCCTGGTGACACAAGGGGTTTAAGTCTCAGCTTCGTGAAGCTAATGGCAGCCACTGCAGCACAAGTTCCATCCCCAACTAGGGGGTGACCCACATGTCACGGCAGACCTCTCCTGACCCACCCGCTGCTCCCCTCAGCAGTGTATTTCAGTCAATCTGCCATTTCTGCTCCCCACTCTGTCTCTGGTAAAACCTCTCACCCTCCCGCACCTCTGGCCTATAACCCAGTTCTTGTATGCATAAAGAAATAAATCTTGAAAGAAATAAACATGATTAAGAATGTTAATACAGCAAATGAAGGGCATTAAATCCAGGGCAGGACCCTACCCGTGAACCTTGTGACGTGGCACAGGGGTGATACCCAGGCAGTCAGCCCTGCCTGTGGTGAGCGTGGAGGTGTTACCTCAACCACCTTTCAGGAAACATGGCCCTGGGGCTGCAGGTCACAAAACCTATCACTGTGGAGTCTGATTTCTGAGTTATGAGTGACAGAAAGTCACCCGAAGAAGAAAAAACAGGTTGCCCAAGATGATCTGAAATAGTCCAGAAAATTCTTATAATGTCCACCACTAGATGAAGTTGATTAGGCTGACAGCTTCCTCATTTCTGAGTGTTGAAGTCTGGGTTACTCCACCACCCCCACCAGGAAAATCCCCCAAAAGTTGCTCCAGGAAGCTTTGTAATCACCCCAAACACATTTGCTCTGGTTTCTTCAAGAAAAAGATGGAAATGATGATTTCACCCATGATTACATTTATCCACATCTAATGATTTCTGTATGTGAATTTTTGTGTTTAGGACCTTCTGGTGTTGGAGTAAATGAACTAAGAAGACAACTTATTGAACTTAATCCCAATCATTTCCAAAGTGCTGTGCCACGTATGTTTATTTTTCCTACACAGCAGCTCATGTTTTGGTGACTCATTCTTAGTCTCTGCAGAGGTACTGATTTCACTACATATGTGATACCACCTTTGTTATAAAATTCAAGGAATAGTCATTCCTGTTTCTATTAACATTATTGTGGTAAAAAAATTGATTTACTTGTATATAATTAGCTAGACTTTAAAGGTATATTCTCTGTTTCTTCATTTTGTAATCATATGGATGAATGAAATAGGACAATGAATATTTAGCAACAGTAGCTAACATTCCTCCAGTACTTCCTAACTTCCTGACACTTTGCTTGATTTTTAAATGCATTGCCTTAGTCTTAATTCAAAATTTTCAATATATGCACCTATGATTTTTATAAAAGCCTGTTAGGTTGATTGTACCTTTCATGGGAGCAAGAGTACGTAAGTGTAGCTACATCCTTTTCACCTCAAGGCAAGGGAGGGGAACTTTAGGGAAAACACTTAAGAGCTGACCATGCATTCCTGTAATTCTAAGGACTCCCGCCAGAATTATAACTGGAAAAAATCTAAAGGATGACAACTTAGATGATGTGGCCAATGACTATAGTTTGAGATGTAGCTGCCCTTTTAAAATTGGTTACAACACAACACCAAGCCAATAAAAAACAGCAGAAATCTGACTGTGTGATTGAGGCTAAAAGGTGGGAGTGGGTGGAGAACAGAGTATGGTAGAGGACTATGGGTGCCTTGAGGCTGTGGTGACATGCCTCTAAATCACATGCACGGTATAAAACAATGTAATCTTAACAAAAATGTTTCCTTTTTGTCATAGCAAAAGAAGTTTATATTTCTCCAGGACCAAGTCTGGATAGATAATATGAGTGAAAGTCAGCCTGGGGTTGTCTTAGTTCTGGCCTAAAAGGAAGGGCCCAAAATGAGCCTCAGATACCTCAGGGAGTGAAGAAATCACAAGTGATCAGCTGAAATAGAGATGGTGTTGAGTATGTATGAGCTATGATATGAGATATGATATGGTAGTGTTGGTAGGGTTTGCAAAATAGCCCAAACATCACCTAGGGGTGAAGGAGTCAGATCTGTCAAAAGGAGCCAACAGCAGCCAGCATCAGCACCCGATAGCCAGAATTCTCCATCCCAGCTTCCCTCTCCTGTGTCTGCACTTTAGCCTTGGACAGTTGTGGAAGTGGGAGAGGAACAGTAGAAATGCATTGAGAGGCAAGAGCAGACATAACTCGTACTCCCTTTCTTGACTTCTGGCTTCCCGACTGCAAGCTTTGCAGGCTTCTGGGTGCAGCAAATCTGTGCTGTTTATGGGGGGTAGGGTGGGGGGGAAGCTTAAAAATATAAATTAAGTTCATTTTGATTACAACATGTGGGTAGAATTTAATTCACTAAGTTTCAACTAGTTTGTGGCATGAATGAGAGTGGGGTTTTTTTCCCCCCCTTAAACCCAAGAGTACTCAGGAGTTATGGAAACTTCTAGACTCTCTTTTTAGACTCAGGGAATATTGTCCCACACAGAAGGGCAGTGGGAGATTATTATAGAATTCCATAGATTGTACTTTCCAAGTACTGTTTACATCATAAACATGGGCACTAATTTCAAAAACTATAAGCGAAATGACCATTTTTCAAAGACATTGATAAAAATAAAATGATCATGTAGAAGAACTTAAAGGGACACAGATCAGACTGAATTCAGACTCGCTGCTGGAGAGTCCTCAAACTAATCACTAATGCATCTGGGCAAAACTGCAAACTGTCATGGACTTTTTTACTTCAACCCTGACACAATTGTTGTAGTAGAAAATATAATGATAGACCACCTAGGTTCTTACTTAAAATTTGTGTTTTAGACTTGTGAGTGTGCTCAAGCTAGTTAAACTTGAAAAGTTTCACTTGTTGGTACACTATGGAAAATAATATTATACCTAGCTAGAAGTGTGAGGGATCAAAGGAGTTCTTGGGAAATGCATACCTAAACACAAGGTTCTGCTGGCATTGTTACCTGGGGCCTTTCAGCATCTTAGAACTCCCGCACAATTTACTAGTGCCTGTTTTGAAATTACAGCAGGGTTTCCCTGAGGGCCTCCCTAGTCTGGCTTATTACTTATTTACAGTTCTTGTCAACACCATAGGACATAAGAGTTTATAGATTAACTAATTTTGGTATGAGAACTTTTTCTTTCTTATCACCAATTCAGGCTCCGTCTTTTTCACTTTAGCATTTTATTTATTTGTTCACATATTCATTGGATATCTTTATCCAAGTGCATGGGAGTAATACATCAAAACATTTTGAAGATTCTAAAAGTATTTTCAAAATTCCATTTTGGACAGATACTACTCGCTCCAAAAAGAGTTATGAAGTGAATGGACGTGAGTATCACTATGTGTCAAAAGAAACATTTGAAAACCTCATGTATGGTCACAGGTAAGCTAGATGTTCAGAATCTGACCCTTGCCTCTGGTTGCTTTATATTCAAAACGAGTCCCCTATTCTCATGTAGAGGCTTCTGGGCAATTCATCCTTTTATTTCTGAAGAGTCAAGTAAGGAACTATTGATATAAATTGATACTTATTGATATTGATAAATTGATAACTATTGATATAAACCAACTCATTGGCATGCTAGTGGGAGAAGTATTGAAGAGCAAATTTTAGAGAATTTAGAAAAGTGATTAAGCCCGAGATGTAATTTCTCCCCTTCTGTTGAGTAGCCACAATTCTTTCTGTGATAGAAAAATTCACATATTGATATTGTTCTTTGGGAATTTATCTTTCTGTTACTACTCATGATATTCTACTTATAGAACGAGTTCTTGTGTCCTTTGTCTCACCTTTGTAGGATGCTCGAGTATGGTGAGTACAGAGGTCACCTGTATGGCACGAGTTTGGATGCTGTTCAAGCAGTCCTTGAGGAGGGAAAGATCTGTGTCATGGACTTAGAACCTCAGGTGGGTCTATGTTGAAACAGGTCCCATCACCCCAAAGTATGAGACATATCCACTTGTGTACATGCTGCAGTTTGTAGTGGAGACATTTTATTGTTAGCATTTTGAGGATAAGAGCAGTTACCGTATACAAGGACCAGGACTTAAGTAAATATCTTGTGTCTAATTGGGAAAAGAATCTTGCTTTTTCAGATGCAAAAATAAAACTAGGCAGGTGGCAATAAAAAAAAGTTAGGATCTTTTTGACCTTGATTATAGAGGCATCAAGGTAACATCTTGTGAAGGGAATGAGATGTTTCTTTACACACATTCCTATGTTAGCATATCTGTAGTTACTTCTGAGAGCACATGTGGAATGAAGCAGGTGTGGGCAAGTTAAGGAAGATAAAGAATATGTAACATATAGATCCTGTTTTTTTTTTAAATATTTATTTATTTATGCTTACAGAACTGGGGTATAGGCCAGGGGTATGAGAATTCACCAGAGACAGAGTGGGGAACAGAACAGGCAGTAGATCCTGCTTCTTAATGATCATTTGTTTCCTTTGCATTTTCTGTAGTCATTTAAAAATACAGGTTGTTTGCTGAGGAGAATAAGAGATATCTTTTCTTACTTGGGTCAAATCTGGTAGCCAATGTGGAATGTCAGCAGTCTGCAATACAAGATTATGGAAAGACGAAAGGGAAATGAAAGTGAAACAAAGCTGACCCACCTTGAAAATCTGTCTTTTCCTTGTCCCTTGAGATCATGTAGAGAAGAATCTTATTCTCATATTTCAATATAGTGTCATAGTTAATAAGATGAAGAGCCAGGATTTGAATTTAATTTTGAGAATCCCTACAGGGCCTTATATATGGTAACTGCTCTTATCTCCAAAATGCTAACAGTAGAATGTCTCAATACAAACTACAGTATGTAGTTTAGATGGTATACTCTTTGATAATCCCATCTCTTAATAATATTATAATGGTTTTTACAGTTGAGGATGTCAGAACACATAATTAACAATTATTTTTAGCCAGAGTATCTCGAGATACTTTGGGAATATTTACACTGAATCTAAATTAGGACATCCTTCTGCTGTTCTCTGCAGAGTATCCAGATGACTCGAACCCATGAACTGAAACCCTATGTCATCTTTATAAAGCCATCAAACTTGAGTTGCATGAAGCTTTCTCGGAAAAATGCCAAGATGATTACAGACTACTATGTGGATATGAAGTTCAATGTAAGACATATGGAAATGAATGTGTTTTTTTCCCCCAATTAAAAAGGCAGTCAAATAAAACATCTTTTTGCTAAGAAATGTAATTTTTATTTCTAACAAATAATGTACTTATGATTTATCTTTTTTGGTTGATATTATATTAAAATAGTTCAGTAAGTGATGTAAGGCTTTTATTCTTCTTCTTCTTTCCCTTTTTTTTTTTATGGTTTAATTTAAAATGAAATGGCCCTCAAGCCACAGTTTGCAAAGTCACATGGAAAGTGGGTGCACATAAAACTGATAGTTGTATTTACATTACTGAGGTGAAGCACTTTTATTTTCAGTGAGTCATAAACAAATCTCCTCTTATATTGCTTCCAAAAATAAAGTAATAAATTACTAATTTTATGGAAAACTTTACCTTTTTAATTATAAGTTTATTTTTACATCATTTTGTGAATTTTTTTCATCTCAGTTGTAATCCCAATGGACTTCCCATCACCAATTCACCCATGTGCCATCACCATGATCCAGTGCACTTCCCCACTCCCATGTTTGATCCCATTCCCCACTCCACCCCCATATAATGTCTCTGATATATAGTTATTATTTTTAGAAAAGTTTACTTTTAAAATGTTTTGCCAAATACATTTCATCAGTACTATGAGGTACCTATATATGTATAGATATTTAAACACACAAAAAAGTTTATTAATGATGATGGCAATAATAAAGGGGGTTAATCAGTAAATTCTTCCTAAAATAGGTATTTCTCCTCTTCCCCATTTCATTATGTATGTGTGTATATGTTTATTTACATATGTGTATGCATTTCTCTCTATATATGTATATGTTTGATTAAATTTATTTTGTCATCACATACATTCAACTGGCAGACTAAATTTTAAGGCTCAATAAATTTTTACATTTGAGCATGCAGATAATCATAAGTTAAATGGAGATACTACATATTTTTTCTTTTTCTCCTAAAGGATGAAGATCTGCAAGAGATGGAGAATTTAGCCCAAAAAATGGAGACTCAGTTTGGTCAGTTTTTTGACCAAGTGATTGTAAATGACAACTTGCAAGAGGCAAGTGCCCAGTTGTTGTCTGCGATTCAGCAGGCCCAGGAAGAGCCTCAGTGGGTACCAGTAACCTGGGCTTCCTCTAAGACTGATTCTTAAGGAGTGCCCAGTTTAATTCTGGAGTTTTAACAGTTTCAGAGCTAAAGAGCTCTGAAATTCTAAAATAGCACTATTTACCCTGCTATAACATGTGCAATTTTAAAAGTGCTATAGTTTAATTCATCTTATTTGAAAAAAAAATTGTATAGGTAGTTACCTATTCTGTTCAGAAAAAGTGTTGTTGTTTTTTTTTTAACCTCCTGTAGAGGTAAAAATCCAACATAGAAATCCAAGTGTTAAGTCACTAAGTATGAGAATCTTTCATAGATTTCAATAAAAAAAAGCATTGCTGAATAAAACAAGCAATAGTGAGTATCAGAAGCTGCATTTCATTTTATGAAGACTGTATTTTATGAAAACGGATTTTACCAAAAGTGCCCATTTGACTAATATAGCAAGGAAAAAGGCTAATACATTCATTTCACATCTAACATTTCTGCAGAAATGACACAGCCTTCATTGCTTACATACCAGAATACAAGGAAAAATTCTGACCAGAGCTGTAACAATAATTAATGTTCCTAAAAGTCAATATTTATGCCTAAATGGGGGAATGGTAATGAACTTGTGTCCCAGAGACCAATATTTGAGAAAACAACACGATGAGAATGTTATTCCACGAAGTTTTATTTTCTTTCTTCCCTAAATCTGAGATTTCCATTTGCTCTTCCTGTCACGAATTCTATTTATCTTTTACATTATTCTCTAACGTTCTCCATAGCCACACCATCCCTCCATCTCTCCAGTCTTTTCCTTAACTATAAAACAGAGTGAATGTTAAAAAAAAAGTTAAGTGATATTTTCTAGAAAACCCATTCAATAAAAATGAAGACTTTTTTCTCAAAGATTTTAATAGTATAATAGTTTATTTTTACAACATTTTGTGCCTTTTCCCATCTCAGTTGTAAACCCCATGGGCTTCCCATCACCAAATCATATGCCATCACCATAGTCCAGTGCACTTCCCTCCCCCCACCGTTTTTGATCCCACTCCCCACTTCACCCCTGTAAAATGTCTCTGGTATGTAGTTGTTTATTATTACTATTATTTTCTCCCCTGGTCCTTTATACTCCTCCTATGAGTGAAGCCATTTGGTATTTTTCCTTTTTTTTCTGGCTTATTTCACTAAGCATGATCTTCTCCAGCTCTATCCATGTTGCTGCAAAAGGGTACCATATCTTTTTTTTTTTTTAAGATTTATTTATTTGTGCATACAGAACTGGGGTACAAGCCAGAGGCTCAGGACGGTGAGAGGTTTCACCAGAGACAGAGTGGGGAACAGAACAGACAGATAGACAAAGTACACTGCTGAGGGGAGCAGTGGGCGGGTCAGGAGAGGTCTGCCACACCACTCTGGGCTAGTGGGAATGGAACTCATGCGGAAGCGGCTTTAGATTCTCAGTGCTGTGCTTTAACCTGCTGCGCCACCAGGGAGGGCCACCACATCTTTTTAATCCAGTCATCTACTTTGGGAACTTGGGCATGTATTTCCTATTGTAAATAAAGCAGCAATAATCATGGGGTGCAGGTGTCTTTTTGAATCAGTGTTTTTGTGTCTTTTGGGTAATACCTAGGAGTGGGATTGCTGAGTCATGTGGAAGCTCCATGTTTAGCAGTTTGAGAAACCTCCATACAGCTTTCCACAGTGGTTGTACTAGTTTGCATTCCCACCAGCAGTGCAGGAGAGTTCCTTTTTCTCTACATCCTCACCAACATTTGTTGTTGCTAGTTGTTTTAAAGATGTGCCATTCTCACTGGTGTGAGGTGGTATCTTATTGTGGTTTTAATTTGCGTTTCCCTTATTACAAGTGAGGTTGGACATTTTTTCATATGCTTGTTGGCCATCTGCATGAAAATGAAGACATTTTTAATGCTACTTATGTGAGCTCAGATTTGATTTTATGTTGGTTCCTCAAGTTTGATTTACACAGCTATGAGATGGATGGTAAGCAATCGGGAAAATATGAGCACTGACTGCCCCAACACACACACACACACAGAATGAGAACTGTCTGTAGTAACAGACTACACACACACACAGAATGAGAACTGTCTGTAATAACAGATCCCATCCCACCCAGACGTAGGACCTGGAAGTTACAGGAGCCGGTCCCTCCTAACCGCCTAGCTCCGACGCCTTGGAACTGTTGGCTTTGCAGAGCCCAGGCGGGTGGAGGCCCCAAGGGGCGGCGGCTAGTGAGGCGCCGCGAAGCCCCCGCCTCCTGCAGGCGGTGGCGTCGCGGGGAGCCAGGCTCGGGCTACCGGCGGTTAAGCCTCTTGCGGGGAGAGCACCATGAGGGCTGACTCCGAGCTTCAGCTGGAAGCACCGGTGAGCGGTGAGGGGTGAGTCGGCCACTAGAAGTGGCAGGGCAGAGGGTGGCGCCCCCCAAGACGCCGCTACGCCTGAGGCCGGGCCTACGCCAAAGGCTGAGGATGGGAAGGGGCCAGCCCCGCCCGTGGTCTGTTCGTTTGGGTCCTCACGGAGCTTTTAGGATTCAACTGGGGCGGGGGCTTGAAGGTCAGCGGCTGGCCTGGGACCCACACTCCCGGACCCAGGCACGAAGCCAGAGGTCACCTTTCCACGGGCTAGAGTGCTAGCCAGGTTGCCATGACGACGTCACTTCTCCGCCACCGTGGCGGCTGCGGCTCCGGGGCTGCTGTAGTTTCGGTCCTACAGACGCACTCCCGGAGGGCTCTTCGCTGCCCAGGAGAGATCGCTTTTTGCCAGGGGAGCCTGTTAATCGCGGTCGGCGCGCCAATCCCCCAAATCACTGAAACCGCGTGGGAAACCAGAGGAAAAACCGTGATTGCTGCCCCACGCCTACTGAAGTCTTTCCTCCCCGGCACCTCAGCCCCAGCACTGACGCCCTTTCCCCCGCAGGGTAGACTTGAACAGTCAGAGCAGATTCCAGCACCGCGGAGCTGGGGGAGACCGCGGGCCCGGGGTTTCCACGCGGCGCAGCTTGATGACGCACTGCTCCTGCGCGCACGCGGGCGGGCGTCGGGGAGCGCCGGGATGGGGGGATTGGAGGGGCCGGGATGATGGGTGAGAGGATGAGCGCCAGGCGACAGGGGCGCGTCTGCTGCCGGCGAGCGGGGCTTTAGGCAGAATGGGAAAGAAGCAAGTGGTAAGCGAGCCTCAGTGACTTTTGGGTCTTTGGGATTTTACTCGAGCCGTCCTACTTTTGAGCGACTTCGAGGTTAGGTTGCTGGACCCGTGACACGTCATTGTTGCGGGACTTTTGAAATTTGGCGTTATCCTGTGAGCCGAGTGCTGGGAAAGGAGCGATCCTGAGCATCATTAGAACAATAGCCTTTTCACGTGACCTTGTGAATTTCAGGTCTGTGTGGTAGGAAGGAAATTTAACTTTTGAATCAAAGTGCTCTGCAAATGGCATGTGGTACTTGGAACATTAACTGATTTTTAGGTATTTCTGTAAGTATTTTATTTTGGGAATATTATGTCTACTATGCTTAATTGTAATCTCTGGACTGCAACACAACTTATTCGTGCAAAATAGCATTTGTAAGGTTTCAAAAAAAAATTCTTCCCTTAAATGATTCATCTTGTGTTCAGTGACCTTTTAAGAGGGTCTGTTACTACATGGCTTAAAACTTCCATCGGTTTGCCATTGACTTAAAACAAAATGTAGATTCCTTCCCTTGGTTTTTACACCCAAATCAGCTCGGCCCCGCCTCACTTTCCTTGGTAAACGTGCGGCAGCTTCCCTTGCCCTGTTTTATGGAACTCTCCAAGCCGGGTATCCCCTACAAGTTGTTGTATTTGATTCTTTTTTGGTTTCTTTCTTATTCAGGTCTAAGCTTAAGTATGTCAGGGAGACTTTCCCAAAGTAAATTAGTACTTCTCGTCTCCCTCATCTTAACATACATATTTTTTGAATGTTATCTTCCAATAGTTAACCACTGGAATAAAAATTCAATAGAAACAGGAATCTCTGTGTTGTTCGTTAATGTATCCATAATGCTTAGAACCGAGGCTGGCCAGTAGGTAAAGAACTTAGGAAGGAAGGATTTATATGTGAAATCTAGAAATGCTGGGACACGTTTAAAATTGCCCATTTGATTCTCCTCAGTACTCCAGGGTTTCGTTTGTTGTAATAAGATTTGAAGTGCATGAAGTAAAGATGATCCAGTTTTCTTCTTTTGATTATAGCGTCCTCCGCGTGCTCTGCCACCTGTGCCAAGGTAAAAATAATTTACAGTAATTTTATTGAGTTTTAAATGTGCAGGATGAATAATGTGAAAAAAATTGATAGTACCATTAAAAACAAATTATTCAGAGAAAGCTTCTTGAACATTTTAATACAATGCTTCCTAAATGTTTAAAGGTGAAAAATTCTTGAATCATTTATTAGGATAATAAATACAGTTAATGTTCTGTTTTAAAGCCTGATGTCAAATAGTAGGATCGTGAATCCATTCTGAATGTCTTTGTGTCTTGTTTATCAGAATTCTGATCCTCTTTTGTTTGCTAGAATAGTTTCCGTAGAGTTTAAGCTGATTTTAATCAGGGACAAAATAAGAGTTTTTAATCTGCTTACTCCACTTTATTAATAGACAGTAGGGAATATGTATATATGTATAGGTTTGGAAAATAGTTATTCTGTAAGTCTAACTAGTTTGTAACTTATAAATTACAAGCTACTTTGTAAATCCACTGACTTTGTGAAAGCTAGTTTTATTTTATATTTTAATGACAAGTAAATTTTCAGTCTGACAATATAATAGATTTCTAATTAATAGTTTTTTTCTTTGCCTTTGTCCTGATTAAACTTGGTCGGTGTCATATAAAGTATCCATCAAGGTAAGTTAGATCACTATTAATGTAAAACTTTTTGAATATAGTATTTGGTGTTCAAAAATTAGTTTGGTTACTAATATTTCTCTTAAGATTGAATCTATTATATTACTACAGTATCTTTTATTGTACTAATAATTTCTACTACTACCTTTTTAAAACGATGCTTAATATGATTAATAAGTAACATTAGTCATATGATTGATACTTGACCTTATAAGCATAAAATCACACATCTCTAAATGAAATCACCCAGAACAGAACTGTTGTCTGGTTTATAGTTCTGTAAAAAGGGACTATATCCCGGCCCTCCCTGGTGGTGCAGTGGGTTAAAGCGCAGCACTGAGAATCTAAAGCCACTTCCTGGTGGCACAGCAGGTTAAAGCACAGCACTGAGAATCTAAAGCCACTTTCTCATGAGTTCGATTCCGCCTGCCCTGGAGGTGACCACATGGCACGGCAGACCGCCCCTGACCGCCCTATGCTCCCCTCAGCAGTGTACTTTGTAGATCTGCCTGTTCTGTTCCCCACTCTGTCTCTGGTGAAGCCTCTCACTGCCCCTGAGCCTCTGGCCTGCACCCCAGTTCTGTATGCACAAATAAATAAATCTTTAAAAAAAAAAAAAAGGGGACTATATCCCCCTTTGTCTCATTTAGTCAGTGTAGACTGGGCTAACTTACACTCTATCTCAGTGACTATATCATACAGGGTTATTTCTGGTTAATGCAAAGCCCAGCACAGCAATAATCTGGGGCAGTTTTCTCACACTTTCTCTTCACTAATTGTGTAGTGACTCAGGTTACTTCCTGTGGTCCTGCACCTTACCTTGCTGCCTCTGTTGCCACTGTGTAAGTAAATTAGCAGTTTATTCCCTGACTTTAATGGCACAGATCATGTCTCCTAACAGCTTATTGACCAGAACCATTTATAGACCAAACCTGAGTGCTAGAGAGCTGAGAAATGTGCATAATCAGATAAATAAATATTTGGTGAGCCCACTTCCCTACTAAATATTACCTTTTGACTGTTCTCTGCATTGAATTTTAAACAGGCTTTTTGTTCTTTCTGTTTTATAGATGATATTCCACCTAGTCGTCCTAAGAAAAAGAAGCCCAGAACAAAAACCACACTCCGTAAGAAGTTCTTTGTTGCATGGGATCACTGGTTTTGATAGGACCTCAGATATGATAAACATCACAAATCAGGAGAGCCAAGGCCCTGCATTCCCAAGTCACTGCTGTGTTGAGGACAGAATCAAAGTCAGTTTAAAGCAGCAGAATGCCTGGTGGGGGAAGGCAGACGCCTGTTCTGAGGCCTCGTGGCAGAAAGGGTTGTGCCACCTAAACTTAATTCACAGCAATTTGAGACTCTTTAGGTCTTTTGTCCTTAGGCAGTATACGTTATCTTATGCTCTGATTGATTCCAGACACTTGAACAGGATACTGGAGTTGAGACCCAGGATTTTTGCATCCTTCATTTTAGTCAGAGTCTGTACACTAGAGCATAAATCTAAAGGCACCTAGGTGATCCATGATTAAAGCTTCAGTCATGAGCAAACTTTGTGAATTCCTTTTTGTTTTAGTTACTACTAATCCTGGATATTCTGTCAGTAAAACAACTCAGTGTATCCATAATTCATCAGCTCTAATAATAAATCTATTTTTATTTCTCACAAATTTTATTTACTGGAGCCCAACACTCTGATTCAGGCTTTAAACTTCAAAATCAGTCTGATTAGTTTCATTGGCTACCTCTCACCATCTTACTTCTGTGGCATCTTTTATGTCTCTTTTCTCCTCTCATTTCTGAAGCTAATGAGCTTACGTATCTTTTTGTTTATTACTACATTTATATCTCTTCTTTTGTGAAGAAGACAAACAAGGGACTGTAGACCAGTAAAATTAGAATCTGCCAAAGTCTCTCAAAATCTATTTAGAGATTTGCTGAGGGGAGTGAAATGAATGACCAAAGGAAAGATTTATAAATTGTCTGTTAATTTCACTAATCCATGATGACGACTTTATTATTTATACCATCTGTTATTTCATTAATGAAGGCCTAAACCAGGCAGAGGGTGATAATTCCTAAGTTAAAGAACAAATGAGATAGTTCTCTATGGTGACATTTTATTTTTATTGTTTTAAGTTTTAAAATTTTTTAATTGTTTTTATCAAGGCAGCACTGGTTTACAATGGTATATGTGATTCAGAGATAGGAGCACGCATGTCACATCACACCCACTGCCAGTGGACTCACAGTCCTCCTCTGTCTGGTGACATTTTTCTTTTATGTTTTTATATTCCTGAAAGTTCTGAGGTAAATTCTTTTCCTCACCTTCTTTTGTTCTTATTTCTAGTCCCCATTGTTTTTTTCCTCAGTTTTTGTTCCATTTATTTATTTTCTCAATTTTATTAGAGCCCAAAGAAAAAGAAAATCAAGATTTGGGTGTACAACCATTTCTATAAAATAAGAGGTTTTATTATAGGGAACATTCTGCATCCTTCCCCCATCTTTTTAAGACTTAGTGATCTCTGCTCAAGTTATCCTACTTTTTTCCTATTCTTTTTTCTGTAGCTAGTGCTTCTTCGGAAGGCCTTGTTCAAACTGCTGTTCATAGGCCACCTGAAGGCAGTGAGCTACCAGCTAAAGAATCCACAGAGCATCTAGAGGCTCCCATTCCACGGAGAAACAAGAAGACAAAGCTACCCCACGGTATGTGAAGAAACCAAGGTTATGTTGTGATGGCAATTGTGATTTCCAGGCTATGATCAAAAATATATGTTTGTTCCTATTTTCTCACCTCATATCCTTTTCTTTTCTTTTTTAACATTTTAACCACTAGAGTAACTCAAATGGGTTAAGAATACTTAAAATTTGAGTCTTTTTAAAGCATATGTGTATGAGAGAAAGGGTAAAAATACAGAATTAAAAAATAAATTTAGTTCTTGAAAAATAAGAATTTAGTATATGATGAAATGTTTAGTGGGAAAACAATAGCTTCTCTACTAGTAATATAATGAAAAAAATAGCCAACATTTATTGAGTCATATTATGTTCCAGAAACTATTCACAAAGTAGACAAATAATGTATCATTTATTTTGCTATCAAATTAGCAATGTTTTCTAAAAAATAGAAAATCCAGGAGTGTTGGATATAAGTGTTAATGAGAAATAGGGATACTCATACACTACTAATATAATGTTAAATTGCTATAGCCTGTTGGAACTTCTAGAAATAGAAGTTACTACAATAGCTACAGTAGTTAGAGGATGGTAATGGCACTACTTATGAGTGGAAACTGGTAATAACCAAACATATAATGGTGTGAACTGGCTAAATAAGCCATATTTTATGTATTTAATAGAAACCAAGTACCCACTTAAAACATTGTTAAAGTGAAGTAATGAAATGGAAATTCATCAACAATATTTTACTGATGAAAAACAAAGATTCTGGACAACACTATGAAGCTATCTGCAGCCACTGCAGCATTAGTTCAATCCCCGGCCAGGGAAGAGATCCACAGACTTCTGACCTGTCTGTTGCTCTTCTCGTAGTATATTTTAGCCAATCTGCCTGTTCTGCTCCCTACTCTGTCTCTGAAGCCTTTCACTCCCTGCACCTCTGGCCTGTACCCCAGTTCTTGTATGCATAAGTAAATAATTTTTTTTTAAAAAACAAAGATTCTGAAATGTCAATAGTATGTATCAAAGGATAGGATTATTATAGAATATGTTGTGTTAATCTCCTAAGGCTTCCATCGCATATTACCTCAAATTGAGTCACTTAAAGTGAAAGAAATTTATTCTCTGCCAGTATGGGAAGATAGAAATCTGAAATCAAGGTTGTGACCCCTGTGAAACCTCTTCTAGCTTCTGATAGTTGTTTGCAAACCTGGGCATTCATTCTTCAGCTCGTGGCCATGTAACTACTCTGTGCTTCCATCTCATACTTCCCGTTTCCATGTCCAAGTTTCACTTTTGTAAGGATACCAGTTATTGGATTTAGGGCCCATCACAATCCAGCATGAATTCATCTTAACTTGATTATAGCTATAGAGACCTTACTTTAAAAGAAAGTCTCACTTGCAGGTACAGAGTAAGATTTCAGTATATCTTTTTGGGGGAACACAATTCAATCCTGAACTTAAGTATGTCTACATATATGCATATATACATAGGAAAAAGAATGGAAGGGTATAGCTGAATGTTAACAGTGCAGGTTTTGTGGAAGAAGGAATTACAGATGATTTTTGCTCTTTGTATTTGACCAATTTTTTGTATATTGAACATGGATGACTGTTATAATTTGGAATAAGGACAGTGGGTTTTGTTTGAGTAAAATAAAGGTAAGGAACTAAGATTGGGAGATTAACTCTCAGCTACCAGCTACTGCTATCCAATCTTTTTTTTTTTTTTTTTTTTAAGATTTATTGGTTTATTCATATAGAACTGGGGTACAGGCCAGAGATGCAGAGGGTGAGAGAATTCACCAGAGACAGAGAGGGGAGCAGAACAGGCAGATCGACGAAATACACTGCTAAGGGTCAGGAGAGGTCTGCCACGCCATGTGGATCTCCTCCGGGGCAGGTGGGAATCGAACTCATGCGGAAGTGGCTTAAGCCTCTTAGTGCTGTGTTTTAACCCGCTGCGCCACCAGGGAGGGCCTGCTATCCAATCTTATAAATGATTTATTACAAGAGTTTCCCTGACCCATTTTTTGTCCTCTTGGATAACAGCAGGTCCTGATTGGATGGAAGAATCATAGGAGTGGATGGCTAGGAACTGAAAAACTCAGGAAAGTGAATACAGTGTAGAGAGGCAAGTTTAAGTAAGATATATAGCACCTCAGGGCACTGAGTACCTGTGAGGAGGAGCAGTGGTTAGAAAAGGGAAAAAGAAAGGAGAAGTAGAAATTATGCTCACACAACTCTACCTACTCTGCAGGTTATTTCATTATTAACAGTCAATATGTTGAGTTAGAATACTCTTAGTAACTGGATGAAATACAAATTGTTTTTAAAGATTTATTTATTATTTATACATACAGAATTGGGGTACAAGTCAGAGGTGCAGGGACAGTGAGAGGATTCACCAGAGACAGAGTGGGGAGCAGAACAGGCAGATTGACTGAAGTACACTGCTGAGGGGAGCAGCGGGCGGGTCAGGAGAGGTCTGCTGCGCCATGTGGGTCACCTCCATGGTAGGGGATCAAACTCACACTGAGTGGCTACCACCAGCTTGCAATGCGACGTCCTAACCCGTTGCACCACCAGGGAAGGCTCTGAAGTACAAATTTAAAAATAAATATCTAGTTCTATAAATAATGAAAAATGTGTTGACAGAAATGACTTGACAAACATTTTTAGAAAATTCAGGACTCAACTAAGTTGATTCTGGGCCCCAAAGTGCCTTGTACTGCCATTTGAGAACACACACACCCATTCGGTCCAGTTTTCTGATTTTGGGGGGGGCTTTAATTTTGTTTAATTTTTGTTTTATGTTGTCCAGGGTGACTATGGTAGGCTCTATTACTTGTATTTCTAGCCCAGGCTGTATTTTATTAAAATTGACTTCTAGGGCTCTGAAGGCATTCCAGGGCGCCACTGCCAACATTTCCAGGTAAGGAGAGCAGATAGCAGAGTAGGAGGCTCCATGACTAGCTTAAACTTAATGCCCTGCATGGAAAAGAGTCAACAAAGCAGGCAGGCTTGAGGCTACTGTCCTCAGCGGGGCCTCCTGGGAAGGCTGGCGCTTGACTAGAGTCTGGGAGCGTGACTGGTAAACACTGATCTAGTCTAAGCTTGGTCTGAATTATGAGGGTGATTCACTGTGTACTTGTGCACAGAATGTGATTTGTGCTGAGCATCTGCCTTACTTCTGGGAAGGTGGAGTTTTAGAATGTGTCAGGCAGATTAAACTTACATGATCAGCCTGCAATTAGAAACCAGGAATACTGAGTCTCTAGTGAGTTTCTATGGTTAAAGAAGGTGTCACACGTGTAGTCATAACTTGTCGGAGGAATTAGCACATCCTGTGTGATGCTACTGATAGAGGACTCTTTTAAGTTTGCACCTGGTTTTCCTAAACTTTGCTCCTAGAAGGTTGCCTTTTGTTGATTGTGTTTTATATTATTTCATTGTTAATCAGCTATCTCTGAATGTAATGACTTCTGAGCCCTGTAATTCCTGTAAGGAGATTACTGAATCTGAAAGTAATCTTGGGTGTTGGATTACTTTTTTTTTTTTAATGTTTGGAAGGGTAAAATTTAAAAAACTAAACATTTAATTTTGGCCTAATTAAAATTCTCATTTTACACAAGTCTCGTTCATCAATTGTCTTTTTACATTATAGTAACTTGAAAATAAACTACTTTACTTTCAGACTTGGAGACATCTTTCACCCATAAGAAGACATCTAGTCCATCTCTATTACGAAATGAAAATGGTGTTAGTGTGCAGCCAAGTGAGGAGGCCGTTATTCAAAAGCCTCGAAGGAAGAAAAAGTAAAAATCTTTTTGTCCTCTTAAATGTTCTTCAGGAATACTGGTTCTTAGTTTGGAATTCCCAGATGGTGGCTTCTAATTAACTCTTATATGGTTGGAATTGTATATCTCTATGATAGGTAGTCCTACAATTCAATCTAATGAAAAGCGTAGATCTCTGAGAAAAGTAAAATATTATGCTTCAGTAAAAAAAAGAAAATTGCAAGCCTCTATCTTAAAAAAAAAGAACAC